CCTTGACTGTCGCAATGACCAAAAGGCAGGCTCACAGGGAGATGGCACAGGCTGCTGGGCCCGCAGAGGCCGTGCCTATAAAGGGGAGGGTTGATGTCTGGACTCTCTGTTCTGCTTCATTCATTTTTATATCTGTCTTTAGGCCAGTACCTCACGTCCTGATTACTGTAGCTTTGTAGTACGTTTTGATATCAGGAATGTGAATCTTCTGGCTTTGTTCTTTTCCAGAATCGTTTCGGCTATTCTGCGGGACCGAGATTTTTAAAAGCTTCCCAAGTGGTTCCATTTCTCAGCTGAGTTTGAGATCCACTGCTAGGGGCTGCAAATAGTTCAGATAGCCACGGCACCTCCCTAACCTCTCGTCAGTCATTGTAGTTCATCTGTTGTCCTTTAAATATTTTTTCCTGCAAATTATGAGGATTTCTGTGCTACTTTTCAACATTTTTATCTTGTTTCCCTTTTCTTTGTTGAATTGGATATAGTGATGGCAAAATTGTTGCCATTCCGTGGTCCCTCCCTTCTTTCTCTGCCAACACAACTGTGATTTTCTGGTTGGCAGTGTGCTCAGCCCCAGACAGTGAATGAATCACGACTGGTCTGATCCAGTCTGGTAATCACATCACCCTTTGGCAGTTATGAGTTGATAGGTGGGCAAGTGACCCAGTTCCAGCAATGCCTGCTATGGGTTTCTGGGAAAGATTCCTGCACTGTCCCTGCCCTTTGCCTTCCCACTGGAGATACTGTCACGTAGGACCTGATGCATGGAGCTGTCATGTGACTGCAAAGGAATCACTGAGGATGGCTGAGCAGAAAGATAAAGGGCCCGGGGGTCCTCAGTGGTATCCTTGGACCACTGAACAGTCCTGCCACCGTGACTCTGCCATCGTAGACCTCCACATTTCTGCTTATGTGAGATGAGTACTGTGCAAGCCACTGTTATCTTAATGTTCTGTTACTTGCAACAAAAATAAAAAATCATTCTGACAGAAATAGAATTTTCAGAACTCTGTGGCCCACTCTGGAGATAATTTAATTTTGAATTGTGTCAAATGCTTTGTTGCTAATAATAAGCGAATTTTCTAAATCTGTAAATGATGTACTAAAAAAAGAGACAGTTTTTACATCTAACAATTCTTCTTGCACGTGTTTTCATGTGTTCTTACATGGGAGAGAAAAGAGGCCTCCTGGGACAGCCAGGGCACAGCCCTGTTTCCTCCATGCTGCCAATGCAGCGAGCCCCCTTGGACCATGGGCTTGTCACAGACACGAGGACGTCATCTATCTAGTATGGCTTGAAGCAGAAAACGATGCTTTAGACCTCTGTGTTTTCAGGCAGGAATTTAAAACCTTTTGGCCATTTGTGGATTAAAACCTGTTAGAAGTAAAATGGTGAAGGACAGGGCCCAGGCCTCTATCTGTAGCCGCATTGCCCACTTTTACTGTTTTAGGATTATAAGCTCATCCGTCTAGCTTGGCAGCTCTGTGTGGATGCCCTGCCACACTCCTCCAGCTGTGACCCTCCAGTCCTCACCTACATGCAAAGGGCCTGAAGCTGGAAGCCATAGTGGATACCTGCCTTCCCCTGTCTCCACATCGTTCATCAGCATGACCGTTTGCTTCTAGCCTCCAAAGTCCCTTAGGCCCTCCAGGCCACCATGCCAGGCCCAGCCCCGTTCTCTCCAGCCTGAAGCACAATGGTGGCCCCCGTCTCCTCCACACAGCAGCTGGAGGGACCTTCCAGGAATGGAACTCTG